GTTTTGCTTCTTTTATTTATTAACACCATATTGTTCTAATTATTGTAGCTTAATAAGATATGTTAAAATCTGCAAAGTTAATAACATCTGTATTTTATCATTTTCAATATTGCCTTGGATACTTATTTTTCTTTTACTTATTTGTTTTTTACATTTATTATGACCTTTAGAATTATTCTGTGACATTCACAAAACATCTATTTAGGATTTTGTTTGGAATTGTGCTAGATTAACAAATTAATTGAAGGTTTATTTACATTTTTGCAAAATGATTATTTCCATTTAAAAGCATTGTATTTCTTTTTCTGTCTATTCAAGTTTCCTTCTTATGTGCATCGATAATGTTTTTGTTTTCTTCATATAATCTTGCATTTTTCATCAAATTCATTCTTACTTTACATTTTTGTTGCCATTGTTAATGGGATCTTAAATGTATACTTTAGGACTATTATTAATATGTAGAAAATACCAGTTTTGTGTACAATGTGTAACAGTTTACTTTACCGAATGTTACTTTTGTTCCCAGTTGATTTTTTTTTAAATTTCTTATGTAGCAATCATGTCATTTGCAAAAAAAAAAGAAAAAAGAAAAAAGAAAAAAAGGAAAAGAGAGAGGACATATGGCTTTAGTTCTTCTTTTACCGTATTTACACTTTGTTTCTTTTTATTTTCTTATTACTTTCTTGGATGTATCAGACACTATGTACAGTTTTCTCTTTATGGCATTCTATTGGGATTTTACACACACCCCCACTTTAGGACATATTCCTTCTTTTCACCTACTATTTTCTTTTCTTCTGAGTCCTTGGAGATTTTCTTGGGTTTATCTTCACATTCTCTGATTTAATTTCCTGTGGCATCTAGTATGTGGTTTATGGCTTCCTCTGGGTCTTAAAATCCAGTAGTCAATGTTTTCACCTTTAAACTACTCATCTTTGGAAAGGTGTCCATGATCCCTTTCTTGTCACAACCAACAGTCTCTTTGCGGCCCTCATCTCCCTCGATGACTGTGTCACGGACACAACCTTTATCCCTTCCTTCATTTCTCTCTTGGCATCCGTGACACTAACTCTCTGGCTCTCTTCAGAACTGTCTTCTCCTCAGCCTCTTTTTCCCTTCCCTGCCCCGCTTTGAGTTCCCAAGTTCCACCACAGTCTTTCTTTTGTTTTTGTTCTACAGATTCTCCCCAGACAACCCATGAATCTATAGATTCATCCGTCTCCATGTCCACTGCCCATTTGCCAAGTCTCGAGAGGGCATCAACCTCATTTAAAGGGCATCTCTCCCTGTAGGGTTCGACACCAAACTCCTGCCTCACGGTCCCCTGACTTTGCTACCCTTAATATCCATGGCTTCATCATCACCAAGCTGCCCAAGACAGAATCTCAGAGTCATCCTGGCTTCTTCCTCCCCGACATCTGCCCTATGCAGTCACCTCACTGTTGGTTCTGCAGTACACACGTCTCTCCTTTCTGTTACTACTATTTGAATGGAAATCCCTGTGTTCTTCCTCCAGAGTACTGCAATTTTCAGCGTTTTTTGGATTTTTTGCTCTGCTTTTCATCCTTTATTCTACCCTCATCATGTCTCATCATGGGTCTTTCCAAAGCATATGTGTTGTTTTTTGTTTGTTTGTTTTGTTTGTTTGTTGAGACAGGATCTCACTCTGTCTTCCGAGCTGGAGTACAGTGGTGCAGTCATGGCTCACTGCAGCCTCTTGGGCTCCAGCAATCCTCCCACCTCAGCCTCCCTCGTAGCTGAAATCGTAGGTGTGGGCTACTATGCCTGGCTAGCTTTTTCAGTTTGTGTAAAGATAATGTTTTTCCATGTTACCCAGGTGGGTCTTGAACTCCTAGGCTCAAGCGATTAGTCCACCTCAGCCTCCCAAAGTGTTGGTATTACAAATGTGAACCACCATGCCCAGCCCCAAAGCACACGTTTGATGATATGAGTTGCCTATTCAAACAATTTCAGTGGGTCCTGTTGCATAACAAATTCTCAGCAACATAAGATGTGCAGAGCTTTCTGTTATCTGGTGCCAATACCCATTTCAGCTTTGTCACCTACTGTTTCTTTCCAGATACCCTATGGCCCAGACATTCCCCCAAACAACCCCCTGCCTTTGCACACACCACTGCCTGTACCTAGAGAGCACTTTTCCTGATCTTTTACCTGCACAGCCTTCGAGGTCAAGCTCAAAAGACAACTCTGCAGCCTTCCTGGACTCCTGGGGTAGAGAGATTTAGTCTCCCTTTTCCCTGTCCTTCTGCTTGATAAATGCTCTTCTGCTCACGCATTTAGAACACCAGAAAGCATTTAGAACAACAGAGTGTGCCTGCCTCTCCCTGTCAAGGGGAGGGCCGGGACTCATCTCTCCATTGACTCCATTCATCTTGCCACCTTCTTCCTCTCTCACTTCCCCCTCTTCCATTATGCTCACATCTAAGTCCCCATCCAAGGTAAGCCCAACTAACCACGTATCTCACACCCGTACTTGAACAGTTAAAAAGCCCACAACTGTGAAACGTAACACTGTCTAGTGACCTACTGCACACCTATTGTATATCCATTTTCTCACTCTCTTAAATGACTAGCACACACCTTCTTCCCTGTCCCCAAACTTCATTTTTTTTTTTTTTTTCCTTTTCTTGAGACAGAGTTTTGTTCTTGTTACCCAGGCTGGAGCGCAATGGCATGATCTCCGCTCACTGCAGCCTCCGCCTCCTGGGTTCAAGCTATTCTCCTGCCTCAGCCTCCCGAGTAGCTGGGACTACAGGCATGCACCACCATGCCCAGCTAGTTTTTTTTGTATTTTTAGTAGAGACGGGGTTTCACCCCAAACTTCCTATAATCCCTCTTTCCCTGATGACCTTGCCTCTCACTCACTGAAAAAGAGAAGCAATCGGACAACAATTTCCTCATTCCTCTGAGTACCTCACCTTCCAGTTCTCTTGCATCTGAACCCACAGCCTCTGCTTCTACCCAAGCCCTAGCCCTTCACTTTCACTCTGGATCCTGTCCTGTCCCCACTTCCCAAAGTCGGCTCTTGTGACCATCCCCTTCCTCCTCTCTGTTCCATCTCCCTTTCTATACTGGACTATTTCCATTGGTCTACAAATATCATCCCTCTCTTTAAAAAAAACTCTTGACTCTTCTTTCCTCTTTAGTTACAGCCACTCCATATCTCAGCTGTCCTTCCCACCAAAACTTCCTTTTTTATGATCCTCTGTAATAGCTCTCTTCAGTTCCTCATCTCCCGTCTCAGCTCAGCCTATTCCAGCCGAGCATCAGTCCTTTCTACTCCACTGAAACTGGTCTTGTGATCACAGTGATATCCAAGTTGTCAAATCAGATTGTCACACCGTGTCCTCATCTGGCCCTAACTTTTAGCAGAATTTGATACAGCTGATCACTTTCTCTTCCTTGAGACACTTTCTATCCTGGCTTTCGCGACATCTGCTCTCCAGGTGTTTCCCGTACCTTTTTGGATCGAAAGTCCTCTCTCCCTGACTCTTCCCTCTTCTCAATGTTAGTTGCTCTAGAGTTCAGCCGTGAGACCTCTTTTCTTCTCTGTGTCTGCTCTACTGATTTAGAGACCATCTCTCTATCAATGACTACCAAATTTATCCACCCAGTCCTGATCTCTCCTCTGAACTACAGACTCTGATATGCATACCCGATTGTCTTCTGAGAGACATTTCAAACTCAAGATGTCTAAACCAGAATTCTGAATGGCCCCCTTCATACAGCCTCCCCTCCCGGTCTTAATTGTGCCATTAAATTGCCATTAAATTGTGCCATTAAGTTGCTCAAGCCAGAAACCCAGGATTCGCCCTCAATGTCTCTTTCTCCACCCACCTCCTTACCGCCCTGCCATTGAATCCATCAGCAAACCCTGTTGATTTTGCTAAAAATACTCCCGTAACCCATCTATTTGTTTTTGTCTCCGTTGCTGCCATCCTAGCCCAAGATGCCATCATTTTTTTACATGCTACTGCGAGTCTCTTAACTGGTTTCCTGGCCTCCTCTCTGGCCTTTGCAGATCATTCATTTTTTTTTTCCCAGCAGCCAAAAGAATTCTCTAAAAACATAAATCAGAGCATATCACTGTCCTGCGTAAAACCCTGTAGCAGTTCTGTGTTGCATTTTGAATAAAACCCTGCTCCCTACCCAGGCCTAGAGAGCCTCCTGTGGCCTGGCCCCTGCCCCGTCCCCCACCTGCCATGTCTACCCTCCCCCTTGATTGTCGCTGGCCACCATGATGCTCTTTCTTGCTCCTCAAAGCCTACTTTTTTCCCACCTGAAGACCTTCATAGCAGCTATTTTGTTTCCTTCCAGAACACTTCCCACCTCTCATCCCACCCTGTTTTATTTTCGTCATAGCACTACTCACACGTTCCCTTGCTTATTTATTTATTTTTGTGATTTGTGTCTCTTACCTAGAATAAAAGCTTCCTGAAAGTATGGACCTCACTATCTTGTGTTCTGTTGCCTCCTGGCACCTGGAGCAGCTCCTGGTGCACAGCAGGTGTTCAGCAAAGGCTTGTTGAAGGGACGAATGAATCCTGGTGTTCTTTGTGATGGGTACCGTTCCTGACACAAAATAAGTCCTCATATATTTGTCAAATTAATAGACAAGTCACTCCAACTACACTGGATGCTTCTTGGAGGACCAGAGTCCTGTTTCAGGTTTCCTTGATTCCTCCAAGCACCCAGCACAGCACTCGGAGCTCCCAGGTGCTTGGTACATATAACTTGTTGGATTTATTCTTCCTCACAACGGGGAATCCAAGAGTCCTGCTGTCTGCTTCACAGATGCCATTTCTCTGAGAATTAACATGATGTGACAGGGATGTGACAAGAACAAGGATAAACTGGATGGGATGCCATAGGGCTACTCAGCCATTCTCGATTGGAACGGCAGAAAAAGGAGGTCTGCCCGGGGGTATTTTCCTATTTCGGCCATGACTCTACATTACTTTTTGGTGCGTGTGTTACAGGGTGCGACCTATGTCCTGGTGATGGTGGATCCAGATGCCCCTAGCAGAGCAGAACCTAGACAGAGATTCTGGAGACACTGGCTGGTAGCAGATATCAAGGTAAGCAGGCCAAGAGGCATTCTCTGACTCATTTGGGGTTGTAGCTGGAAGACTGTCATTCAATGCCATTCCCACCTGTTGCCCAGGAGGGCTGGAGCAAGGACTTCCGTGTCCGATCTCCCCCAGAGCTCAGCTGTCAGAGCCCTCCCGAGTTTTCCAACAATTTCAAAAAGTGTCCCAGGGCCAGTGGTACGCTGGTAAACCAGCCCTCGGGAAGGGTGGGGGAACTCTGATTTCTAGTGTTTGCTGATTTTTTAAGGTATAAATAAATACTCCCACCACGGCCAGTTTCAAACTCCTGATGATTTAAAAAACTGACTCACACTGTTTCTGAAACGTTAACAATTGGCTTCAGCGCATCACTGGATTTGGGGGCACTGAGGGGATTCTGAGATGTGCAGGTGGCAGAGCCAGCCAGGGGAGGTCCTGGAACTCCTCCCCATGATGGGGCGAGGGGCATGAGAGAGGCACAGCGGTTTGCTTTTCTTTGTGTATAGAAACAAGTGGCCGCCTCTCATCTTTGTGTCTTTGTCATCATAATTGTGAAGGTGCCTTGCTCACCACCCTCTTCAGGGAGGCTCCTCAAATCTGGTGGCTTGTTTGTGCCGTTGTGTGGGGGGAAAGGCTATGTTGCCAGACAAGTTTCGGATTCTCCGGGTTGAACTGAATTCATTCTGTTTCTCACTGAAGGGCTTTTGGAGCTGTTCGTAGTCTAATATGCACTATATCATGTACACTGATTTACCAACTGCATTTGATGGTTGAATCTTTTTGTTCACAAGTGCCTGGCAGTGCTCTCTGGGGAGGTCCACCCTTGCCTCAAACAGTCACAAATCTGTGCCTAGAACACCTGACGATGGGCTTTGCGAAGAGTGTACAAAGGCATCAAGCCTGTAAGATAGTGGGAACTCAGAGCTAGCAAAACAAAGTCTGGATGTGGTGTGGATCTTGGCTGGTTACTAACTCAGTGACCTCTGTCGGCTCCTCTGGGCATTTCATCTTGCTCTGTAATACGGGAAGCGGGCTGCTGACTTGCTGTGATCGTCGTGATGAGCCAATGACTTACAAGAGCACTTTGGAAAACGTAGACAATTCTGCAAATACAAGGGGTTTGTGTTTTTCCTTCTAGAACTATGGGTAGAGGAAGGGGTTTAAATCTGAACTGGCTTCTGATTATCCTGAGCAAGGCAGTGTGCTCACAGCCACTGGGTGGGAGTCCAGAAGTGAGAGGAGAGTTACCCAGGCAACTAGAGGGTGGCCCAACGACCAGGGCCCCTCCCAGGGAGCTCAGGTGGACAGCTGTTCCTAGAGGCAGCCCTGCCTATGGCCCTGGAAGGGGCTATCTCAAGGCAGACCCAAGCAGCAGCTTCGTGGGCAGTGCTGGAGCCACCTCTGTTACTCTATACGCTTCCCCAGCCAAACACGGTAAACACACAACAGAGCTGGGAGGTTTGAGCCGTCAGGAAGGGGAGGGGAGCAACGGGCATGAAAGAGAAAGATCTGGCATCCCCCCCCCCCCCCACCCAGGCTAGAACATTGTCAATTTCTGGACTTAGCCCTCCCCAGCGGTCTCAGGGGTGAAACACTCAAGAGAGGAGTGCTGCTCTGAAGGTCACATTTGCAGCCACTCCGTGCACTCAGGGCTTCCTGTTAGGGAGCTCTGCTCAGCAGTCCTGAGGCAAGAGTGCAACAGCAGTTAGGGATGGGATGACTTCAGAATTGAAGGGACTTGAGATCATGAGGCTGCCTCTCTTCCAAGCCTGAAGACCCCCACACACTCCTCCACTCCCCTCACCCCCATACTCAGAAGGGAGCTCTCTCAGGAGCCCTGTGCAACAAACATGAGTTTAGCCTCAGCAGCCCAGCTTAGAACTGGAACAGGTGGCAGGTGACAGGTGGCAGCTGTCCGGCAAGGCTGCTAAGCCACAGAACTTACCAGTGCCACCTGCCCGAGTGTGGCCCTCAGCCTTCCCGCCCAGACCGGAGGAGGCTTGGGTTTCCGTCGCATTTGTGCCGCTTCCCTCACGAGTGTTCAGCAGGAAGCGGCAGCGATATCCACTTGGCCCTGCCCACCTTCCCCAAAATTCCACCGGCCACAGAGATGGTGTCAACCAAATTCATTTAGGTCTCAGGTTCTAGACCTTAAGCAGAGGAAGCGAAGGCTCTGATCAAACCCAGAGCACTTCCTTTGTGTTGGTGTTTGCTGTGGCTAAGTGGGTCTCAAACAGTTGAGTACATCCGAATGGGCAGATGAGCTTGTTAAAATGCAGCTGCCTAGGCCCCACCCCAGCCGCAGAACTTCCACTTCAGTCGGTTGGGGGAGAACACGGCATTCTAGCTTAATAAGCACCCAGAGGGGTTGAGCAGATTGAAGGAAGACCGTAGAGCTTCGGTGCCTTGGTCGTTCTTAACATCACTCATTGCGGAGCCATTTTCAAGTGAAAAGTACTTTTAAAACTTCTGAAGCTCGATGCCACTTTGTGAAATAGACATAATCCTCGTTTTATAGATGGGGAAAGCAAAGTCCAGAGAGGCTGAATGATGCTATCTTTCAGCTGGTGGGTTAGAGAGCTGAGTCTTCAATCCGCTCCCCCTAACCCTAAGTCACACGCCTTTCCTGCCATACCATGTGGCCTGGGTCACATCATATCCCTCCCATCAACTCCACTAGGAAAAGGAGCCACTGTGCCCTCCATACCATGGAAGGCGTCAGCTCCGTGGTTCCTTCTAAAGAGGTTCCCTCCCTTCACCCCAGCTCACTCCCAGGGTTCTATTTCTAACTACCCCTTATGGGTAGATGCTTCCAGAGAACTGTCCCCAGAGAATACTATCTTGTTAAATAAAACACACTAGGTAAGTGTTTTGGACCCCATAATACTACACCCTAGATATCATCATTACCCAAGCAGCCTCAGTAGGAAAGCCTGCCGTAGAGTCTCTGCAGACACAGAGTGACCACAGCCTCATGGTTCCCAGTGACCACAGACTCAAACTTGGTGGAACTTCAGCTGACCTTGATATTAGGTGGCCAGGTCTAACTGGATGGTAGGCAAGATTATGGCCATAGGAACCTCTCAGCAGGGACAGTTTTTTTTATTGCATTTTAGGTTTGGGGGTACCTGTGCAGAACATGCAAGATTGTTGCATAGGTACACACATGGCAGTGTGATGTGCTGCCTTCCTCCCCATCACCTATGTCTGTCATTTCTCCCCATGCTATCTCTCCCCAACTCCCCATCCCCTGCTGTCCCTCCCCCATTTCCCCCCGACAGACCCCAGTGTGTAGTGCTCCCCTCCCCGTGTCCATGTGTTCTCACTGTTCAACACCCACCTATGAGTGAGAACATGCGGTGTTTGATTTTCTGCTCTTGTGTCAGTTTGCTGAGAATGATGGTTTCCAGGTTCATCCACGTCCCTACAAAGGACACGAACTCATCATTTTAGATGGCTGCATAATATTCCATGGTGTATATGTGCCACATTTTCCCTGTCCAGGGATAATTTTTTGACAGGCTATCTGGGTTGAAATAGGACAGCAACTAGTTTTTAGGAATACAAGAGTCATTTGTGGCACCTCCCCCCCGCCCACCTCCACTCCAGAGAGAGGCTGGCAGGGTCTAGTGCAGAGTAGGATAAAGCTCTGGAACTTTAGATGACTTAAATAAAGCCTAGGAGTTAGAGACATGCTCAGCCATGGAGACCAGGCATTCATTCATGGGACCCTTTTGTTCATTTAATTCAAGAAGTATATATTGAACGCTATTCAGTATAGCACAATGGTTAAGAGCTAGGACTCTGTAGCCAGAGCCAGACTGCTGTGGCTTGAATTCCTAATCTACCATTATTGCTGTGTGATCTTGGGCTAGTTGCTCAACCTCTCTGTGTCTCAATATACTCATTTGTAAGCCAGAGATACTAGTAGTGCCTACCTCACACTGTTGTTATGAAGCTCAAGTGAGTTATGTATGTATGTATGTATGTATGTATTGATTGATTGATTGATTGAGACAGTCTCACACTATCACCTGACTGGAGTGCAGTGGCGCAATCTCGGCTCACTGCAACTTCCACCTCCCAGGTTCAAGCAATTCTCCTGCCTCAGCCTCCCAAGTAGCTGGGATTATAGGCGCCTGCCACCATGCCTGGGTATTTTTTTTCTTTTGTATTTTTAGCAGAGACGGGATTTCACTATGTTGGCCAGGCTGGTCTCAAATGCCTGACCTCGTGATCCACCCGCCTCAGCCTCCCCAAGTGCTGAGATTACAGGCGTGAGCCACCGCGCTTCGCTTCAAGTGAGTTATTTTAAGGAAAGTGCTCAGAACAATACCCAGAACACAGAGTAAGCTCTATATTGTTATTTGCTGTTACGTTGTTATTATTGCGCTCAGTCAGCTAGCTAGGCTAGCACTGGCATCACAAATGCAAACAAAATTGAGGAAGGCTCTGCCCTCGCGGGGCTTCCGTTCTAGAGACCAAGGAAGGAATCCATAGCACAGTGGTGGTATTAGGAGGGCACCAGGGACTGGCTTGGGGTGGAACTTCCTATACCTGTGGGTTTCCATCAACTCAGGAACAGGACTAGGCTCCAGTCTCCAAACCTGGCCCGGCTGGGACAGGCAGAGACTGATACCTAAGGCATGCTGTCTCACTGGGCTCGCTCTTTGAAGTGTTCTCATTGAGCAAGAGAGATTTCTAACTGAGCACTGACAGATAACATCTCTCTCCCCCACTGCAGCGTCCTTAGCCTTTCCTTAAAGATGATATTCAGTTCAGATTCCATCTAACTACTAATCTTCATGCTGAAAGCTCATTAAGGTATCAATTAATTTGCATCATTCATTTTCAAAGAAACACTTATTGGTTCCTCTTTTATTTGTCTCTGAAATTAGTGCTTAGGGCTTTTCATGCAGATATTTTCATCAGACTTTTTATTGTTAATGGGAATATTGAACACAGGAAGATGGTATATTAATACTTTCCACAAAGAATATCATGATTGG